TTCTTTCTTTCTTTCTTTCTTTCTTTCTTTCTTTCTTTCTTTCTTTCTTTCTTTCTTTCTTTCTTTCTTTCTTTCTTTCTTCTCTCTCTCTCTCTCTCTCTCTCTCTCTCTCTCTCTCTCTTTCTCTCTTCTTTTTGTTTTTTTTATTTGTTTGTTTGGTTTGGTTTTTTTAGAGACAGGGTTTCACTATGTAGTTTTGGTGCCTGTCCTCGATCTTGCTCTGTAGACCAGGCTGGCCTCACAGAGATCTGCCTGGCTCTGCCTCCCGAGTGCTGAGATTAAAGGTGTGTGCCACCACCGCCTGGCCAGTGACTTTCTTAAAATTAGGAAATGGGGCAAACGGTATATTTAAATAGGAAAATAAGTAGGACCAAGGTAGAAGCTAGAAACTGCAAATAAAGTCTTCTAGAAGTGTTTATAGGTGGTTTTTCTGAGTTTCCTGGGAGCCAAAGATAGAAACTTAAGCATAAAGCATAAAAATGTGTGCATCTGTAAGATCAGCTCACATGACTGTTTCCTTGTAGTATGCCAGCGTCACCCATGAGTATGCATAACAGAGCGCCATTGGTCAGACTGGTTCTGTGTCTATCAGCCATCCGGTACTGAGCAGCATAGCTCCCTGCTGGCTTCTTACAGTGTCTCTCAGAGTTGGCCTACATGGTGCTAAAGCCCCTTATAGGCCAAAGGCTGCACTGGAGGTCTGTGCAGCAAAGCCCACTGCAGGTCCTTGATCTCCAAAGGCGCTCCCTGCAGAACCCAGCTTCAGGGTGATGTTATACTACAGAAAAGTAGACAGAGAAATGAGTCTGGCAGCAAATGTGTCTCACAGGAACTGCCGATACCAACTTAAAGGCACTAAGAAGTCCTGTAATTAGGAAACAGCCCAGCATGTACAAATTGATTGGATGTTTTCATTTAATGTATTATAAACATCACCCTAAAGTCATTCAAGGGCACACAGTAATGTTTACAGTGCTGAGGATACTCTTGAGAATGAGCACTTGTTCTGTCCCTGAGCTACACTCCCACCCGCTCACACAGTAAACATTTTAAGCATGCTGCCCGTGTTAAGTCAACTCTGCTATTGTGTCAGAAAAGTATGGCCTATCACAATCAAGCAATATCTACTAATTTAAACAAGTAAATTAATATAATTCTCATGTGCCATGAAATCATACTCTTTTTTAAATCTGTTTTCAGCCATTTAAAAATACAAAAACTGAGGCTAGAGAGATTGCCTCAGCAGTTAAGAGTGCTAGCTCTTCTAGAGTACCCAGGTTTAATTGCCAACATTCACAAGGTAGCTCACAACCATCTGTAACTCTAGAGGACCTGACACCCTCTTCTGGCCTCTGCACACATCAGGCACACAAGTGGTGCACATACAAACAAGCAGGCAAAACACCCGAATATATAATAAAAATAGGTAATAAAAATGCAAAAGCTGAGGTTGGTTTTCAGGCTGTTTACAAGCAGGTGGCAGGCCATGCTTGCTTGTGGACCCCTGTCCTGAGGACCACTTGTTCAGCTTTCCTTCTGAGTAAGACCCCTGAGTACTGTACCTCATTGCTCACTTGAACTTAAACTTTATGTTTCTGGCTTAAGAGCAGATCAAAAAAGATTATGATGGAATAAACTAGGATTTTACTCAGAAAACAATTGTAGAAGAGCAAAGGGAAAAACAAAACAAAAACGTTGCAAACTAACCACAGCAGCTGAACTGTTTGCCGATGACAGGGTGATAGAACGGAGGGCAGTCAACAGGGTCTGTTTCAGGCTAGAAATGTGTTAGGAGGCATTCATTCATTGTGTTTCTAGAAACAAGTGCCCCAGAGCCCCTGGAGACATTTACAAAGATACAACTTGCTAGTTAATCCTCCAAGTAAATTAATAAACATGCCCCACCGAAACTAACAGCACTTTTTATTTTGACCTAGAGGGACATTCTTTCAGCTTCTTATGATGTCATTATGATGAAATAAAAGGACCAAACCATCCCTGGTACCCCATGTGACATGTCAGATTTAGTCACACAAGTATTTTATTGAGTACATGTTTATGAAGCATTTGACTAGGTTTTATGGAGGAGACAAAAATGAGCAAGGAGCAGTGAGTCCTCCCCTTCACCTTGTGGACTGAGTTCAAGGTCCTCCCTGCTGTACAGTCGTCTATTACTGTGTAGTCAGAATCAGCTTGTGGACTGAGTTCAAGGTCCTCCCTGTTATACAGTCGTCTATTACTGTGTAGTCAGAATCAGCTTAATCTTCTGGGACTTCATATTACCATTCATCCAACATTTCATCTGTAATCAACATTACAACCAGTCAAAACAGCTAAGATTTAAACACTAAATAAATGAACGAATGAATGAAGGAATACAGCAGATGCAAGCTTGGGTGTAAGGAAAAAACATTGATTGATGGTGGGAGTGAAAACTGCTGCATTCACTGTGGAAATCTCTGCAAGTTCCTCACTGATGTTGATCTTCCACATGACCCAGCTATACCACTCCTGGGCAGATCTCCCAAGGATTCCGGCATCCTACTGCAGAGAAACTTCTTATTCATATTCATTATTCCTTATTCACAATAGCCAGAAAATGGAAACAGCTTAGATGTCCATCGATAATGAATGGATAATAAAAATGTGGTACATATACACAATGGAATATTATTAAGCTGTAAAGAAAAATGAAATTATGAAATTTGAAGATAAATGGATGGATGTAGAAATCATCTTGAGATAACCCAGTCTCCACTAGACAAATGCCACACATTCTCTCTCATATGTAGATGCTAGCTTTGAAACTTTAGATACGTGTGTTTCAATTGGAGTACCCATAGAAGTGAAACTAGCAGAGAGGTCATGAGGGGAGGATTTCAAGAAGAGAAGGTTAGAACACAAGCACTGTACAGTGGGGCAAGGGAATGAGAGTGGCAGGGAGAACCTGAGCTTTGTTCCCAGCACTCGCATCCCAGGGTGTCTGTAATGCCAGCTTCAAGGGATCCAACACCTTCTTGTGGCTTCTGTACGTACTACGATCATGTAATACACATACATACACAACGTTAAATAATAAATCTTTTTCAATAGGGTAGAGAATAGAAGGGCAGGGTAGAAAAGAGAGTATGGGAAGGGATAACTAACACTAAAGACCTTTGAAAACAGCGCATGGAAACCAACTACTGTAGAAGCTTCCTAAACTATATACATATATAAAAGGAGTTTAAATGGAATTATCCTAGACCCTCTCACACACACAGACATTACACGCTGTTGCCATTGCACTTGCTCACCTCCAGAACTTAATGGTAAGATCCCATGACTGGGAAAAAAAGAAGTAATTGAGTCATAGGACATAGAAGATCAAGCTAGTACCAACCTAGAAGCTTCCTCCTACTGGCCAGATTCCATAGTGCTGGATTTCATGCTCCTTGGGGTAGAGGAAGTAATTTGCAGTCTTACCCAGCTGTGAATCCTGAGAGCTACAGTAATGACTGGCCTGGCAAGATATGACTACTCATGAAATAGTGGCACAAATGTTATATAAGTAACCAATTGCTTTCTGGTTGGATTTAAAGCCTACTTCACAAGAAGGAATTCATACCTGGTACCATAAACTGGACCAAAACCTTGTGGCTGACTAGGTCATAGGCCCTAGAGGAGAACCTAATGCTGTTATTATAACAATTCCTAATGAATTACTGCTGTACCCATAGATTAGTGCATCTCTGAGCCCTCATCAGAAGAGCTCCATTTTGCAGTAGATGAGCATTAATACAGAGACCCACAGCAGGTCAGTGTGCAGAGAATAATAGGCTGGGGAATGCAAAGCTCTAAATGGAACATCTCTATTGCAATTTCTTCCCACAAGGCTTGAGGATCATTGTAGAAGAGGGAGCAGAAAGATTGTAGTGGATGTCTGAAGTGAAATAGTATTGGCTGGATGAGCAGCACTGTCGTACACCTAAACTTAGAGCAGCTATGACTGCACACGTAAGATCTGCACAAGATCAAGCCAGCTGAAATCCCAGCACGGATGGGGGAGGGGCTCATAAAGTCCCACCTCTAACTGAGGAGCTACTGGCCATTGATGGCTGCTGGGAGAGGGAGAGTCATTTTTCTTTAGGAATATGGACACTGAGAGGCAGCTGCCTATTCACCAGTAGGTGGTCCTATACCCATACACATAAAGGAAGCGCAGACTCGTTTTGTTTGTTGGCCTGTTTTTGTTTTAAAGAGTTGTGAAGTTGGAAGGGAAAGTGGTGGGTGTGGAGAGGGAAGGAGTTGGAGGGGAGAGAGTAGGGGACGGGTTTCATCAAAACAATTGTATGGAATTCTCAAACACTGAAAAAAGAAAGTCTAACTAGCACACATACATCATAATTTTAAATTATTTCTAAATGAACAAACAGTAAAATTGACCTTTATTTGGTGTACCTGTCAATGCTTTTAAATCATGTATAAGTCTTAGATACCACAGATAAGATTAGCAAAATTCTACCACCCTAAAACACACATACATTATTCCCAGGCCCTGACAAGCATTGATATGCTCTCTGTCATTATAAATCTGTACTTTTGAGAATGTTGAAAACAGAACCACCCCAAACAAACTGTATTCTTTCTTAGTTAACTTTCGCTTAATATTGGGTATAGATTGAACCTAAGGACTCAGACATGTTCTAACAGCTCTTCCACTGAGCTGTGTTCTCAGCCCCCTGTTTACTTATTATAATTTTTTATTTTTGGAGATTATAAAATAATTACATCATTTTCTCCTTTTTCTTTCCCGCCTCTCGTATACTCCCTGCCTTGTTCTCTTTCAAATTTATGGCCTCTTTTTCTTTAGTTGTTGTTATGTATGTGTGTGTGTGTGTGTGTGTGTGTGTGTGTGTGTGTGTGTGAGAGAGAGAGAGAAAGAGAGAGAGAGAGAGAGAGAGAGAATGTGTGTGTGCAAGCACACATGCATGGGTATATGTATTTCTAAATATATAAATACAGCCTGCTCATTCCATATAATTTTACTTGTATGTATATGTTTTCAAGGCTGAGCTTTTGGTATTGGATAGCCAATTGGTGTGCTCTTCCTTGGAGAACACTACTTCTCCCCTCTTTGTCTAGGGTTAAGGCCTTGGGGGCTTTCCTCGTCCATATTAGAGTGACTTTAACTGTCAGCCTTGTTTAGGTCATGTTTGGGCAGCTATGTTGGTGAGACTTCATAGATGTAGCTTTTTTGACATTTCTAAGAGACACAATCTCACACCAAACTGCCAGTTCCTGTGACTATTAAAATCTTCCCACTCTTTCCTCCCTGAGCCTTCGGGGCAGGAGTCGTATTGTAGATGTATTTGTTGGGACTGGGCTCCACAGTTCTGCATTTTAAATGGTTGTGGTTCCCTATAGTAGTCTCCATCTTTTACAAAGAGAGGTTTCCTTGAGGAGGGGTGAGAGTCCACTTCTCTATGAGTATAAGGATAAATCTTTCCAATGGAGTTAGGATCATGCTGGTTCAGTAAGAGGGTGCTTATAGTTCTCCTCCCAGATCCCGACTTCACCAGCCCCAGGGAGTTGGCTAACTTTCTGGTCCCAGGCACGGTCTCTCTCTTGTTGAATGGGCCTTACACTCCCTTAGAAAACCGTTGGTTGCCACCAAGGTCTGCACACCACTGCTGCACCTTAGGGTTATCTTGCTGTGCTGGTCATTGTCGTGGTTGATAGGCATCATAGCTGGGTAGGACTGTTGGTGTCTTCCCTCCTTTGGAAACTTGCATGATGTCTTCTGGTACCATGAAAGCTGGTCCCCAAAGGTATTTTCCAGTCAAATCCAGCTTGTGTCCTTTTGGTCCTGTGTCTGAAGTGCATGGTGTCTTCAGCTTGCTATAGTGTATGTATATAGGTCAGAGGACAACTTTCAGGAGTGAATCCTCTTCTTTCACCTTGTTGAACCAGGATCTTTTTGTCTCTGACATACTGTATACACCAGTCTAGCTGACCTGTGAGTTTCTGGGCAGTTCTCTGAACTCCAATCCCACATTACCATAGGATTTCTGAGGTTATACATATGTGCCACTACATTCAGCTTTTTGTGTGGGTTCTAAGTGAAGTAGTTGGCTGTTCCAGGGGCACAAACTGTGGTCTGGCCTGTTTATGAATAGAATTATATTATGCTTAACCAGGTTGATTATATGGCTCTGTATTTTTTTAATAACTTACTTCTGGGTCCTGTCCTCATGTTAGAAGCCAGGTAACCTTTCTGATACTCTGTTTGCCTGGGTGGGAGACAGTGCAGAAAGCAGCTATAGCTGAGCTCGAAGAACCCACTCCCAGACACTCTGGAGAGGGAGGCCAAAGATCAGACACTAGGGAGGACCTGACCAGGAGGACCTGTCCCTCTTGGAACAGAATTCTTGTTGGGAAGCCTCTTTCCTGGAAGCTGCCTCCTGGCTGCCTGATGACACCTGTTCTCTCTCTCCTCTCTCGGGGCAAGGAGAGGTTGGTGTCAGGTCACAGAGCAGAAGAGAATAGTGATCACACCTTTGTCTCTCCCAGCCTCACATTCTTCCTTAAAGAGAGATTGTAGATGTTCTTTGCAAAAGATCACATGTGCAAAATGAACTGTTGTTTAACATTCTATGACAGTGGATTATTTGTGCTAATTCTGTTTTCTATCTTTCCTAGAAAAGACTGTATCTTCACCATTGACCCATCAACTGCTCGAGACCTTGATGATGCTCTCTCCTGCAGGCCTCTCAGTGATGGTAGGATGGAAATTTCTCTGTTGCTCTGTGCAGTAGGCAATCTGTGTTCTCGTGTGCTGAATACCCATGTCCAGTTTCCATCTGTTCCTGAGGCAGCTTAATGGGCAAGGAAGAGTTTGCTTCATTCCTGAGCTTGGCTATACAAGCTGAACATTGAGCCCTGTGGAGGCTCTGGTGAGGGAGAGAATGAGAAATGTCTTCTCACTAGCTATTTGTGGGTGTTAGAAGAGGTAGCCATGACAGCAGAAGAGCTACTTCTAGGCTTTGGCTAGCCAGCGTCAGTATGAAGGATAATAGGAAGACACCTATGGGCTGTGCCCAAAAGATACTATGTTTCCTTCAAACTCAGCGTGGAGGAGCCTCCCTCAAGACATGCTGTGCAGTGGGCAGTAGGCACACCCTCCTGATACATGCTTGTCTAGGCTTGAGCTGCAAATGCTCCACTGCTTCTTGTAGCTCCTTGTCTTTTAAGAAAATTGTGAATGGCAGACTGTTAAGGGCCTTTTAAAGATTCTTGAGGATGTTGCTAGGAAAGAAAAGGCAGGGTTGCAACTAGGCATGACCGTTGTAGGAAGAATAGCCACAGGTGATTGTCAGAGGTTGTGTGAAGGGTATGAGGAAAACCCTGTCAGTTCCCTCCATGCCCAAAGATACAGTTTCCATCTACTTCTGGCGCTTTTCTAGAGGGGAGCCTTGGTGACTGCTGTGACTTTGGTTATTCTTGGAGATTACCTTGGACTAACATGTACTTTGGTTTTTTTTTTCTAACATGGACTTTGATGATGTGTGTACCCATGAAGTATGCACATCCTTTTGATTTTAGTCCTCCACAGAGCATTGATGGCCCACCTTCAAAGTATTCATCCCTCATCTTCCTCTGATGCAAACCTCTGTATGTTTCTTCCTCTACTGCAATAAGCAGTGATGATTAGTAGGCATAAGCCAAGAGAGTATGTTGTCTAAAAGTGCTTAGCTAATTTTTGTAGGAGCTATCGCCACCCACCCCCAAATACTCCTATGGCTAAGGCTCATCCGTGCGAAGCAACACTCTGCACAAATCCTCAGCACACGGTCTCTGTTACATGTTTCTGTAATCTAAAACTAGAGCAGCTTATGTACAAGAGCAAACTGCAGCCCAATATCTGAGAAGCCTCTGCTGTGCACAGAGGTTTAAGCAAGCCTGCTCTCTCTGCAGGTAGATCCCTCTCCAAAGCACCCATGTGAACAGTGCCCTAGGCAGAAGCCTGGTGGTTCTGGGCCTTCCTCCCCTTGGGTTACAGCTCTTCTTTGTTAGTGACTGAAAACAGCTGCTTCATTTGTTCTCTCCAGTTTTATAGTTGTTTATGGCAAAAGTATAATACCTGTTTCTGTATCTCTGCTAGCCTCAACTCTTTTTTTTTTCCATGCAAACCATCAATTTTATCGGTAACTTTTAAAAGGTATCTCACTTGTTTTAATGCTACAGTTTATTGTCACATCATTAATCATCCATAGTTGTCAGAGTGTTTAGGTTCAGGCTTACTTTTACCTGAACAATTTTAATTTTGTCAGATCCTATGTCAGCAAGAGACTTCCTGTCTGGCCACTTTGGTGTCCAAATTTACACTTCTCATTACTTGTTCATCGTCTTCTATGGGTCTTCTATTGCTTTAAACATATTTAAAGCAATCTTTGAGGGTTCGATTCCATTTAAAAAAAAAATCCACAGCTGTTCTCATCTAGGAAAGGGTGGGCCTGCAGCAGAGCATTGACCACATCGTTGTACTGCTGGGTGGTGGGGTACAGCGAGCTTTCCAGATACTTTGTCATATCTGCCTGGAGAAACTCCATCATCCTCATCCTTATGCTGTGATTTCCTTATGCGGGGAAACTCTGGTAAGACATAGGACTTAGTCAATTGTAATGCTTTATGCCTTGCTAGAATGTGCTTTACGTTTCTTCTCTGCTTCAATACTCCTTGGTCAGTGAGTCCATTATCAAGCTGGTGGGAGTGGAGTTCTCTTCATGCTCAGGGGCAGCTTGTGCTAGGGTCAACAGGGATGTCTCTCTGGGGCCTCCAGTGGGCTTCAGCCATTGATTGCTCTGGTTGTATTTTTTATTAAAGTCCATCAGAACAGCCTGGTGTCCAATTTTCTTTACCAGTTGCTATATCATCCAATCATTAAATGCCAGGAGTACAGCTCTACTGACTTCTTCGTCTTGAAACCTGGGGACTAGCTCACCTAAGTTTTTCTCCACCAACCACATGCAGACCTGATCAACTGACTGCGTTTCCATTGCCAGATTCTTGTCCGCCTCAAACTCTTGAACCTGTAGGTATAGCAGGGAGCTAGACTATGCCCTGCCTCACTCACTCTGCACAGCTGCTTTATATCTAGTATGCAGGTGTGTGGATAAGGATTTCATGGAGAAAATGGGGGAAAATACTGCAAGAAAAACAGATTAGTAGCAAATAATGTTTATTTGTTAGACCATGGAAAACCACACAGACATTGTTCAGCGGGAATTCAGACACAGTGAGGAAAATAAGTTATCAAAGACTGAAGTGAAAGGAGAAGTTTTACAAGTGTAGGCATGCAGACCTGGACTGGAGATAGGAACAAGGTCCATGAAGGATGAGGTGAGATGAGGAAGAGAAGAGTGTGGAAACAAGTGGCAGAACAGAGAAAGAAAAGACAGGTGGCTCAGCCTGGGTGTTGAGGAGCTACCCACAGGTAGACGCTGGAAAGTCAGAAGGGCGTGCTGCTGTAGGAGTTGCCTGTCTGGTGATATGTATTTATAGGAATTACTGCTAGCCTCTTTTTAAAGGACAAGAGGATAAATAAGATGAGTAGATGATATCACAAGACTACAGCAGGAGAGCCCTGAAGGAAGGTAAGCAGTGGACCCAAGTGCCGAGAGTGAGCTTCTCAGGACAATGGCGTCACAAGCAACTTACTCTCTGCTCTACTTCCCAAATTTTATAATGTGCTAATAGTAGCTTTATAATGAGAAAACTGTAGTAAAAAGGAAAAGGTGCCAGAAATCACGAGCTGCCCAATAGTTGCCCACTCACCAGGTGATCAGACCCTTCTGTCTCCTTGCTATTTCTTGCATTCCAGAGAGACAGTTGACATCTGTGCATTTGGCGGGGCAGCAGCAAAAGGAAAAAACCAGGGAAGGCTTGGGAAAGGCCCACGGTGGTCAGTCAAGCATTTTTTATGGTGGCACTTCCACAGTTGGCCATTGTGACAGCTGCCTCTGCCAGGATCATTTATCCAGGGGGATGAAAAGCAAAAAAGGCAAGTCCAGTCTGGATTGGGATGGGGTTGGCTAAGTTCAGATTCCCTTAGTTACAGGTTCATATCACTTCCTACTGAGAGGGAAAAATAATTACTGCTTCAAAAAACAAATAATGTTTTCTGGTCATATTTATGTAATCTGTGTTTATTTAAAGAAAATATGTATAAAAGTTATATCTCCCTTTGGTCCCACAGAAATCATCTCAAGGACTATTCTGTGAAAAATCAAATACATCGACAGGTAGAGCCTGCCAGTGCTCACACTCCCTCTCATAGAGTGCCACTGTGTGCCCAGGTCTTTCCTATCAGGTGCAAGCCGTAGACAGTCAGTTGTGTAAAGTATTAAATTAACTTGGAGGGAGGAAGTGTGCCCCCTACCTCCCTTCCCAAGCAGAGCTTCACCACTCATCCGATCTGGGGTTCACTCCTTCCTTTAACCCCAAACACACCTACGGGGAAAGAACACTCCCCAGCAATGGAGGTTCTTTCATTTTTGTTTAAGAAAATATTTAATAACAAGTAGAGTTGTAATGATATCTCAGAATCTAAAGACAGTAAATCCCAGCTCGGTATTTTACGATTGTAACAGATTGCTTGCAGCACACCTCACAGTTAACCTCGCCATTTCAGTGTGGGAATACCACAGCTGGAAGCTCACCCTCTGTTTTTTTTTTTTTTTTTTTAATTACCCTTTCAGCATTCACTTCATCAAATATCTAGATTGCATTTGAACTTATTACCTTAAAGGCAACCCATTCTGCCATACGATTGTGTGACGCTTAGGAAATCCTCCCCTGCATGCTTCAGAAATACTGTTATCTTGCTGCAATTTTCTACTTGTCAGTCCTGTTGATGCGCCTCAGTGCCCTATAGCACAAATAACAGTCTCATGTGAAAACTCTTCTAAACAAGAGCTGTCATTTATCTTCCAAATCACAGCATCCCTTTCCTGTCTTGTGGCTGATAAAGTGTGAATCCAGTTGCCATGTTATAGAGTCTTCCTGCCTCTGTAAAGTCTGGGGTGTATGGCTCCCTGGCTTGCAAGCTCTGCTAGCAAGTTCATCTTTACTGGACAGAGCCGGGATCTGGCTATAGGTACCCAGTCTGCTCAGTCACTGTGTCAGTGTCAGACTGTCAGGCAGACGGTCAGGGCCTTCACCTTTAGTTGATTCTGAACCTCACAATTCTCCAGCACCTTGTTGTGTGGTTTGTATTCTCTAAGATTTGCTCTGTCATTAAACATGACAGGATTGTCTTTGTCAGGCCTTAGAAGTGAATGGACAGGAGAGAGGAACAGCTGCTAATGAACTTGGGTTTCTATTTTGAGTGATGAAAGAGTTCTGGAATTACATGGTTGGTAGTTGCACAATTTTGTGAAAATATTAGAACCATTGAAGAAAAATGAATGAATGAGTGAGTGAATAATGAATGAATGAATGAATGAATGAATGAATGAAAGAGAAAAATAAATCTAAATCCACTTATTCTTGATGCTTTCTGGAAATTAGAATTTATAATTTATCCATAACTAAGCAGAGATCTTAATGAATGTCCATCTGGGTCGCCATAGTCACATCCTTTTTGTCTCCTGGCTGCTTTAATCTCTGAAGCATAAAATCCTAAACCAAAGTGCTCAGCCCTCTGCATAGGCACCTGCCTACCTGTCCCACCCCACTGGTTGGCTCAGTGAAAGAAGAGTCTTCCTTCTAGCCTGGTGAA